TGTAAAGACACTTGGAAGTCTGTGCGGTAATAAAGTTCTTAGTACGCTCTTAATGGTTGTAATTACACAACTAAATCATGGGTATCTGTGTTTGGATGACTGCCTGGTCTAGGGAAGGTTCTGCTAAGAGGTACTAAGGCAAATTTGGTTATATTCATTCCACACTGGGATACATGGAGATATGGAAGAGCTGTCTTGCTGGACAGAATTTCTGTGAGCTGTAATTAATTTCTCATTGTCAAATGCTTTTTTTCCAGAGTGCAAGTTCCAAGTCTTTCAGGAATATATGAAAACATGTGTGAGCGCTAATGGATTATTACTCCTGTAAGGACACATATTTATAGTACACTTCACCAAAGGTTGCTAACAATTTTGATGTTACTTTAAGCCACTGTGCTTTGCTTTGTACTTGCAGTATATGAAGAACATGGTGATTTGCTATATTAAATTGTTTTGCTCCAGCAGTTGGATGCTGAAAGCTGTCTGAATGTGCTTGTRATACCTGATTTGCTTCACCAATCCCTTTTGCACACTGCTGTTTTGCTTCTACCCACACTACTTAAGATCAGCCTTTTAGTGCTGCAGAGGAAGAAGAGGAGCAGTAGTACATAGCAGACCTTCATCTACAATTTGGCTTACTCTCTGCATGGACACAGGAAGAGATTTCTTGCATGGGCCCTGCTGAAACAGAAAGACTTATCCACCCCTAACAAGCTGACACACATTCTTCATGTTCCTGCTGGTTTGGGTCACAGTCTTCCCTGGTTGCTTGCAAACTATATCCAGTGTCTTTGCTGCCAAACAATCTCTCTTTTGAAGGCTGGGAAATGTAAAATATGAAATCTTTTGTTTTCTACCTATTTTAAACCTCTGTATCACATGCAGGTCTTTAAAAGCAGCAGCCAAGAATGAGACTTACTGCCTTGGTGTATTAGCTGTGTTTTGGTGTAAGTGCTTTATATTTGCACATGAACTTTTTTTTTAGTGTAGCCAGTTGACCCTGGCTGCATTCCAGGTACCCACCAAAAGCCCTTCTATCACTCCTCCACACCTGTGGAGAGAAAATGTAATAAAGGGCTCATGAGTTGTGATAAGGACAAGGAGAGATCCCCCATCAAATACCATCATGGGCAAAAATAGACTCAAAGTAGAGATATTAATTGAATTCATTAGTAAAAAACTCAAAGCAAGATAATGAGAAGTAAAAAAGGACCTTAAAAAAACCACCTTCCCTCCTTCCCAGCTCTACATCCTCCCCCACCAGCCATGCAGGGAGACAGGGAATGGGGGTTATGGTCAGTTCCTCACACATTGTTCCTGTTGCTGCTCAGGAAGGAGAGTCCTTCCCCTGCTCCAGTGTGGGATCTCTCCCACAGGAGACAGTGCTCCATGGAATTTTCCAACCTGAGTCCGTCCCACAGGCAACAGTTCTCCACAAACTGCTGCAATATGGGTCACTCTTCCACAGGGTGCAGCCCTTAAGGCACACTTGCTCCAGTGTGGGTCCGCTRTGGGGTCACAAGTAACAGTGACAAAGTGTGGGCTTCACTCTCCACAGGTCTGCAGAGCCCGTTCCAGTATGGCAGGGTCACAGCCTCCTCTCAGGCATCCATCTGCTCCAGCATGGGTCTCCTCCATGGGCTGCAGGTGGATCTCTGCATCCCTGTGGTCCTTTATGGGCTGCAAGGTCACAGCTGCTTCACCATGGTCTGCACCACAGGCTGTAGAGAAAGCTCAGCTTTGGTGCCTGGAGAACCTCCTCCCCTTCTGCACCGATGCTGGTGCATGTGGAGTTGTTCCTCTTGCATGTTCTCTCCTTCTCTTGCTGCAATTGCATCTGCATGATGCAATTTTTTAAATATTATAACTAYTTTTTAACTATTATAACTATTTTTTAAATTCTGAACTATGTTTTCACAAAGGTGTTACCAWCGCTTCTGATAGGCCCACCCTTGGCCAGCAGCACATCCATCTTGGAGCCACCAGGGTTTGGCACTGCTGTACATGGGGGAAGCTTCTAGYGTATTCCTCCCACTCCCCTCCTGCTACCAAAACCTGGCCATGCAAATTCATTACATTTAGGCCAGATGTTCATCATCTGGCCAGTGTTAGTTCAGTCCTGATTGATGAAATCTGTTAAAAGATGGAAAGGTGTGTTAACTYTGTAAGCATAGGAAGTGTGTTGTTTGTGTTTTGTGTGTCTTGTTTGATATGTCATGGACTAATATGAGTGCAGGAGYAGTCCTTGCAGAAGAGGACTTGCATGGTGAGTATCAAACAAGGTGCAACAACTGAGCATAGGTAAAACTCAGAAGGAAATGAGACCATATTGATTAGCATAAGCAAAATTTGCAGTGTCCTAGCAACCTTCCATGTATATTCCATAAAAGAGTTTTTTTTTTTAAGGAGAAAACTGAAACAAAGTTGTATTTTACCTATTTTCAAGTTCTTAATTGAAATTCAAGCAAACACAAGAGGGGAGAGTCAAGGTTTTCAGTCTGAAAATCAGACAGATAGGTGAGGAAGACTCCTGGCAGTTACAAGTGAGCTTGTTGATACTGAATAATATGATAAGGAGAACTAAAACAGGTGCTGGAAAGAGATAGCATTCTTTAAATTAATATTTTAAATTTTGGATTGCACGATTAGTATCCYAAGCAGTTATTACAAGGAAATAGAAAAGGAGCCAAGGATGTAACTAAGGAGTCAAGGACTTGCAATAATTCTGTCTCTTTTGTTGCCCTCTGTGGTCTTTTGTCATGGTAATTTTTCTTGCTACCCTGCATCTGACAAATGCAGAAGATCTATGTAAGTACTAATTATTTTGTTAGAACTTAATACAAATCAATATAATTAGATTAAAATAACCCCTTAACAGAAGGTATGTACAAAGTATGTAGCAGCTGTGATATATGGTGCTCTGTCCTGCTATTGAGCTCATTCCAACAGAATGTGATCTATGAACAATAAATTTGTTTGTTCCTCATTGTAGTTATGGAGGAAGCAAAAAAAAAAACTCTAAACCCATATTTTCTTTTCCCAAAGCTTCACTTTAACTTTATAACATCACTGTGTATATCTATATTACTGCATTTAAATTTAAAATTAGATTTCATTATTCTGCCAGTTCTTTAGGCTGAATGGGTACAAGCTAGMAAAAGAAACACTATGTATATTCTAGGAAGCTTTTCACTTTCCGATCCATGAGTGATTTGCTAGCAATTTCTTTTAGCACTTCATCTGCTAAAACRAAGTAAAAAAATTTAGGCTTACTAGAAGAAGCAGCCCAAAGGCAGCCACCTTCTGTATCTTGGTTTCTTGTGGTGGTTCTGTTCTGCACTAAAGTATTCCTCTAAAAATGCACATGCTTTTGCCAAAATGAAAAGAACAGTAACTCTAGACCTCAGTCTCTTTTCTCTGTAATTAGGAAAATGGAGGTTTCAGTCAGGTTAGAAAGTAATTTTCTGAAGCCTTGTAAAAGGGTAACAGATTTTTTAAAATTTTCAAAGAACAGACAATTTGTTCAACTTTATTACCAAACTAAAGATAGTATTTTAACATTGTAAATGTGTGTTACTTGTTATGCAGAATGGTTCAAATAACATTTTGGGCTTTATTTAATGGGAAACCCCATTTTGATTATTGGAAGCAATGATGCTCCCCCACTCAGAAAAAAAACAAGACACCCAAAGCTGTGTTAAATKAACCTGGCACTTGAGTCTTTTCATGGACTGCTGAAAATGGTCCTAAAGATGRTTTTTATATGTTCTGTATGTTTTGCAGCACATTTATATGTTTTATTATGATCCATGATTGTTTGATTATGGAGGTTATGGAGTTTCTTTTAGTTGGGTGGGGTTTTTTTTTTTGTTTTTTTTTTTGTGTTTGTTTGTGTTTCTTTTCAATTGATGCATTCATAGAAAAAGAAAAGAAATCCTTGTGTTTTCTAAGAATCTCTGTCTGTAGTGTCTAACCACATAAAAAACAGTAGCTGCATAACAATGATGTGTAATGGCTTGATGATTTTTGCTATGAAATCTTTGAAATAATAGTAATAGAAATACATTTTCTTTGTGGTGCTTCACAAAGTGGCTGAAAATAATTTCAAGAGTTTATGGTTACAGAAGTTTAGTGCCCTCTTCTATTCAGTTGCTTTATGTTACATTGCTGGTACAACTCGTGTGGTCACATTTCACTAAGATAGAGGATAATGAGATGCTGCTGAAGCAAAGTAGATAGTTTTGGGCTCTGGTTTACCCTCCTACTCGGTGTTGTAACAGTACAACTTTTGACTACAGCAGAATATGTCTTATCCATCAGCATTCTTGAGTTGTGCCTCAAGGTGTTTTTACAGATCTTGAGTATAGACCTATTTGCTACTGAAACATGGCAGAAAAATGTACTTTAATAATAATGGGGGAGGAAATTATGGGGGTGTATATGAATTCTGGAATTGGACATGTTATTACCAATCTTAAATATATTTTTTCAATAGTGACTTAAAAAAAATTGTACATAGAGCTTCTACTCCTAACACATTTACATGAAGGGTATATCCAGCCTGTGTGTATATCTGGATTTTAAAAAAAAAGTCCTCTAAGCAGTTCAAGAAAGATGCTATTACTGGCTTGCTGAGAGAGGATTAATTAGGAATGTCTTCCCTTATCTGGATTTCTAGACGTTACAGTGGTTCACTTCCTCTTATAGCAGAGCATTATTATACAGCAATACACTAGGCACTGTATTTAATGATTACATTATTATGTATTTGTTCTCTGGGGATTGGTACTTTGGTTGAATTTGAAGTTATTTGCTGGAGAACTGTTCAGTTGTCAGATGAAGGGATCAGCATGAAATAACTTGTAAACAGAGGATGGTGTGCTTGAATAACAAAAAGTCAGGGGAAACCTTGACRTTTGGGGGATCTCCAGGAGAATTTTTTTGCATAAATACTAGCTTTACTCTGCATACCTTTTATTCCTCCCCTCCCTTTTCTCCAGTACTGATACTCGAAAAGGTGGAAAATGGAGATCTGAGCAACAAGATGTTGAAGATCACGGATTTCGGCTTGGCCAGAGAATGGCATAAAACTACCAAAATGAGCGCAGCTGGGACATATGCCTGGATGGCTCCTGAGGTCATCCGCTCTTCCATGTTCTCCAAAGGCAGCGATGTTTGGAGGTATTGATTTGGCATTAAGTGATTGGATACTAAAGAGTAACTAAACCTGCCAGGAAACCTCTTTCATGTGTAAGAATGAGTAATGGCAAACCAAATATTAAAATTCAGGTCTTAAGAAAACTTTATCCACCAGCTTTCCTTCTGTCACACTTATCTCAGACTTATTGTTACTGTAGAAAGTAAGTGGTGGACCAGCTACTGCATGCCTTTAAATTTTTGTTGTTCTATAAATTTGCCTTCAGTTTATTTTGGGATTCATAATCCAAATCCCCTCTGCTTTGTCTAAMCCAAACTTTTTGTGCTATTGTGCTGACATAATCAAAGGCCATAATACAATGTGAGAAGTACTTTATTTTTTTACTGTTTTACCAACAAGATAATTTTGCAATATTTTGTTTTGGTAGCAATCCATCATTGATATATGTGTACACAAACACACTGTACTTAATTGAATTCCCCATGCAGTTTCAATCAAAATACTAAGTTTTTCACTTTCCTAATTGATTGTTTGCACCCTTCTAGTCTTTTACATAGCATAATAGATCTCTTATCTGGTTCCATCTGAGTACGTAATCCATAAATTGTAACTTGCAAGTATATATTGTCTTTTTCATTCATGCACTGGGATTTTTGTGAATGAGCTAATTTGGTGGGTCAGCCCACATACTTGGAGAAACTGAGTTTGAATAACATCTTTAAGTGGATTAACAAATACAGAATTCAGTAAATAGCTCTAGGACTGTGTCTTTTCTGGATGCTGGATAACTTAGAATTAGTACTGAACATCTGAAATAGAGAGAATTTTGTTTTTCCAAGGGAGAAAAAGGTGTTGAAATGTCAGGGTCTTTGTCTTCAGAGCAGTAAGGTCCTGTCACTGGTCACTAATGCTCTTGCTCAAGTGAGTGCATGCTGTAAAACCTGTCAGGATAATGAAATATCCCAGCTGGTAGATTTGTCTGGGTGTTACGGCAGATAGCTGGTATGGGGATTTTAATTTTCATTGTCCAATTCTGCTGAATAGATAATGTATTGCCTTGTGTAAGTCTGTGAATTTGTATTTTGCACACTAATAGTATGGATAAAATCCTGACTCTGTAATTAAATGTGGTAGTCTCTAGTTAATCTGAGACAAACTGAGCAAGAACCAGGCTTTTACTATGAGTGAAGTCTGGAAGAAATTAAAATCTTAAGGCTGTGCATCTTTTCTGTGCATGTGATGACAGTAGTATGTACTGGTTTGTACATAGCTTGTCAAGCTCAAACCTCAACTTGCTCTTCTCTGAAACAGTGCCAGAAAGGGTCTTTAAGGGTAACCGGAGGGAAAGGGAGAAGGGACAGGAGGAAACGTTTTTCTGTACTTTTAACTTTATTAAGCAAGGCAAGCTATGAACAGATCAGTAGATGTTCTGTACTGGTATGAATTCAGTAAAAAGAAGTTAAGTTATTACAGTCGGTTGGAGATTTTCACAAAGGTAGCACAAGTGCCTCTGTACCTGTGCAAAAGTACCACTTTGGTCATTGACTTAAGGGCTGTGAATCCGTTCGGGACTTCAGGACCATAAATAAATTATTTGTTCATTTTTCGGAATACTTTATTTCTGCTTTTAAGATTCCTTCGTCACTTTCCCTTGTTATAATTACCAGTCTTCCCTTGAAAATAGGTTGAGTTCCACACAATACTCTCTCTTAAACAGACAGTCATCACCATTAAGAGAACTTATATACCTTCTCTGAATAAGCCTTTTCTTTCTGGTGGCTAAAACCTCCATAGTTAAACAAGCTGAAAACAATATGTATGCAGCGGACAAATGCTTGCCAGTGCAATTGCTACTTGTTTGCCAATGATTGTAAGCACGAGATTTTACAAAAGTAGTCATGGACTTGTGTAATAAATCCTATCTGCACCCAAGGATGCAACCTGAAATTCTTAACAGGATGAACGTTTTTATCCTATTAGACTTGCCCCTCCTCTTGTCCAGTTCAACCACTTGGTTAATCACTGGAGCAACAGGGTTTTTTTTTTTTTGCCTGAAAACCTTCCAGTTAGTCTATGCAGCATCAACATCATTGTCTGTAATGTTCACAAACGCTTTTATTCCAACACCTTTTCTTTAAAGCTTATTAGAATAATACTGCTGGCTGAACTTTTGCCCAGCATTTTAGCAAGAATCTTCTGCTTGTGTTCTTGCTGGACAAACAGGTGAAGAAGATGCTGAAGATGCATTCTAGAACTGAAATTTCCTGAGTCAGTCTTATCATAACTAACTGCTTCATCTTTTCAAAATGTGTTTCAAGCTCCATTAAAAGAGCTCCATCTATTTACTTTAGAGTAGGGTTGGCAAAGAACTTAAAAAGAGTGAGGAATGACCACACATGGTATCTATCACTAGGGTCTGGGCCACTGTGAMGCTTCTTCATAGTACCAGTACTTAGTAAATCTTGATAGTGAAAACTTTTTGCTGTGAATTTTTCTCTATTGTACCCACAAGCTCTAACTATACACTAGAAACTTTGTGCTTATGTTGCACAGAGGACAAAGAAACTACAGTTTTATTTAAATAAGTCAGCTCCTGTAAATCTATTTATGTGTTTGTACTTGCTTTGGATTTACAGGGGTGAAGTTGAAGCATGGATATTGCAGCTTATCCAGTATTGTACTGCAAGCTAATGTTAGTAGGCATATAAATAAAATTTCTGTCATTTGACTGTTTAAATGTATTTCTTGTTTGCTGCACMCTTCATATTTTAATTTGTGCTGCTTAAAAGACAGTCATATTGTCAGTACTATTGGTATATGGAATATCAAGGCCTCATACAGCCTTCATCTGAGTTCTCCATGTTCCTCGATTTAGATTTTTTTAAGCTATATCTACTCTAAGACCAGTGAAATAATTGGGAATTTAATTTCCATTTCGGAATGGAATACCAGCTCTAACTAAAACAATCAGATTAGCGGATTATGAAGTTTCAGGCATTCAGTGCTGGGTGTAGAAACTTCAGTTCTTAGAATACTTCGTTTTAAGCAAGTGTTGATCAAGTACTTCCATCCACAGCTGACCACTTGTAGGCTTCTGTAGTCTTCCGTGTGTAGTGAAGCACTGGCAAGACTTCAGTACCTGGCAGGTAAGTGCAGACTAGCAATATTAGGAGAAATTCACCTGGGAGAAGCATGTGCAATTGATTGTTGTGAAATGGGCAGGAAAGGTCATCTCTGGAACTGCCAGTTCATTAACATGCAAAATTCCAGCTGTTAGTAGCCATAAAAATGTAGTGAAGTTTGAGTTTTGTGGGTTTTTTTTTAACAGAAGTAATGTTCTAGTTTCTGTTGGAACTGGGATCTCCTTGTTAGGCTGATAATTCCTTCTTCATGGAAAGTGTTGAACCTGGGAAAATGGGTAAGGGAAACCTATGGTATAAATGCCATGGAACAGTACCAGTGAGAAAAAAATTACTTGTTTTTTAGAAGTTCACAGACTAATAAGGGAGGTGGCAAAATCACATGTGAAATCCTGCAGACCTCCAGCCTCCCTCGCCCTGAAAATCCAGTGTGTAGGATTGAACCTGATGTTAAATGGCTTAAGGGATTACTGGATCACTGAAAGATGGTTAATTATTCRCACAAGTGTCAGTTGACTTCGATGCATGGGTTGTGTCACATGGTTCATTTYGTAATTCAAGTCCAAAAAATAATACTAGGTGCTGGAAAAATAAATGAGCTTGATTGCTTTTTCTTTCTCCCTGCTGAGAATGAGTAGAGGCCCTTGTTTCTTTCTTTCTATGGCTTTTTTTTAAACAAGTCTTCTGACTCTGGCTTTTCCCTTTGTACCTCCCAATCTTCTGTTTGAGAGTTAATAGAAAACACTCTATTCAGCACCTCTCCTGGTGTTTGTTCACTTGGGATTATTCGTCGAGTGCCACAAAGCAGTATTTCCCTAGTTCTGTGGGAGCAGTATTCTCAGCAATGAGCTGTAAGTGTGGTGGCATTGAGATTTGTCAGAAGCTCACTTTGGTCAACTCTTTGTCAGAAGCTCACTTTGTCAAAGTGATCTTTTCTGCATATATATACAGAATATACACTCCTAGTGTCACATTAAAAGAAACCCCAATTTGTCTATGCCTTCTTCCTTTAAAAATAACCCTGTAGAAGAAGTGCTTTGAGTAGTGCTTTATCCAATAGTGGTAAAGTAATAATACAGCTCTTTGGTAGATTTTACTACCTTTTACTATCAACAATCATATCCAAACTGAAGAGTAACATGAATGATTAATCAGATTTAGACAGTTCAAATAAACATTCAGTCCAATTTTCATTTTCTTTGATTGTTTTATAAGTTGTAGAAGGGCAAAAAGAAAATGGGAACACCTTAGACTCTATTTTTTTCAAATAAGGCTCTTGAGACAGTAAGAAATAATAAACTGTAATATCAAGAGTGTGAATTACATAGGAAAAAAGCATAATATCATATAGATCAAAAAATATATTCTGCTTAATAATGTAAAATAGCTGTTTTAGCAGCAAAGGTTGTATCTTTAGTGACTAAAATCCTGTATCTAAGTAGGAAAAGTACTGTTAGGATGTCCAACTAAGGTAGCAGCAGTTACAGTGAATGTTAAAGATGTGGTGGGGTGGAAGGGAGATTGCACCCTTAGTGGTTATGTGCTCCCAATTGGATAGGGAAACAGTTGCTTTGAAACAAGAAAAGCTTAATATTSTACCTTCGGACAATATTTTTCATATATGTTTCATGGAACAGCTATTTAAGGAGCTTGTAGGAAAACAAGCAGATTTCATTTGGTCTTTGAGTGTGCTTAGGAGGCCTTCARTGTTGTACAGTATGATGTGGCCCAAATAGATGTATCCTTAGATTTGATATCTTTGAAAGCACAATTAAGAAAAATTGGTCTATTACCATAGTGTTTGATCTCAGGATTAATGATGGCATTGAGAATTTTGTATAAAAAGAACAAAAGGGGAGCATGCAACAAGGGTATCTTTTAAGGACACTGTTAAATCTCTGAGTGAATGCATAGGAAAACCTTTAAAAGAATGAAGGAGACAATGTAGAAGAGACTACTGAAAGACATCTTTTTAAAAGGTCAGTGTRTATCCAAATGAGTAAAATGATTCGTGGGCTTGAGCTCTGGCAAGTTGTACATGAAACACTTCAGAAGATAAACAGGTGTTGAGGAGAGTCTTAAAGCATAAAACCAAATCACTTGCCTTCAAATGCAGCACAGGTGAAAACCCTGCAGGAGAACATACAGCCCAGAGGTGAGCAAAATGTGAGAGTGCAAAGAAGATAAGGCTATATCAGAAAATAACCTCAGTGAGTTGGGTATGCCAGAAAAGAGCAAAGWGAGGCATTTTAAGCAGAAAATTTCTCTTTAAGGGAGTCAAGCTGGAGGACATATTTTAATGAAGTAAATTTTACAGAGGTGTTAAAACTGACTGATAAAATGAGCAGTAACAATTCCTGAGATTTACAGTAACACCCAAGATTTCTACAGGAACATGAGAGTCAGCTGAGTTAAGAGCTGTGCTGTGTAATCTGTTGCTCAAAGCTGCTGCAGTACCAGAGAAATGGAAGGCAGTAGAAATGGTGGCAGGTCTTAAAAGAGCTTCCTGAGGATTTGCAGGAATGATTTTGAGTTCTAAATGTACGAACAGCACTGAAGAGCAGGGAGCTGCTCGAAGTGTGAACATATCTGGGGAAGAGTCAGCTTTTTTACAAGAAAATGTAATACCTTGTGAAAAGTGAAAATGCTTGAAGGAGTTACTGAATACATGGATAAATGGTGAGATTTYTTATACTATATTTGGATTTACAAAGACTTTAAGCAAAACCTTTATCACAAGCTTTTAAAGAAAGTAAATTGATGTGGGAAAAGAGGGCCAGTCTTTTTCCCATAATTTCATCAATTCTTAATTACTAAAGGAATAGATCAGTTTTCTTTGTGGGATATTCTGTGTTCACCGCAATCATAAGTGATTTGAAAAAAACAATAAATGGTTAGGTAGCATGGTTGATGATACCAGGTTATTCAGGATTAAGAAAARTTAACCTACTGCAGAGAGATGAGGAAAAGTTTTGCTGTAATGAATGATAAAATAGATGGTAATGGTAATACATACAAGGTAGTACCTATGGGARAATTTCACATATACAATTATTGCCTTGACTTTTACTATTATGATTCAGTAAAAACATATTTGAGCTACTTTTGGATAATTTAGCTCATTTTTTAAAGAGTGAGAAAGGCAACTGGCGAAGGAAAATCAAATAGGAAGGAAAGAAGCAAACAAGCAATACTATTTGTCTCTTCCCATATCTTGAAAACTTTGTGTGATTTGGTCATTCCAACAGAAGAAGTCAAGGTCAATGAAAGATATGTAATGGCTTCTGTTCAGGTTAGTAGCTAGATTAGGATTTAGCTAGATTAGGATTTGGGGGTCTGGAAAGAAGATAATGTAGGCAGGATGTATAGGAGCCTGTGAAATCGTGGATAGCATAGAAGAAGCTAATAGGGAACATATGTTTACTGTTTTGTGCATTGAGAGAACTACGGGGAAGCAAATGGAATTACCAAGTGACAAGCTCAAAACACATATACAGAAGTATTTTTTAATTTGTGGGGTTCACTACCACAGAATACAGTGGGTGGTAAATGGGTTCAGAAGAGAGTGAGAGATCAGTGGAGGAAAAAACTGTCAGGGTACCAAGTATGAAGAAGCAATTTCAAGTTTCTTAGAAGCAGAGAAAATATTCTGAGCTTATGTTGTTTATCATGTGCTTTGGGGGAGAACAGTTCTTGAACCATTTCCATAACTTCATAGGTAATGTTTTGTAGAACATTTTAAGAAACAACTTTATTTTGAAGCCTATTTTTGACTTATTTTTAGAAATCACAACAAGCCGCCTTCACATTTTTGGGTGTTTTGAGAGGTTCTGGTTTGAAACATGGTAAATTAGAAGATTCACGGTTTTCAGATTGTTCCCAGTTTTCAGACAGAAAATTATTTTTGCCTACAAGGTGAAAATGTCATCTTATTTCAGACTTACTAAAAAAAGCAGGTAAAATAAGGTACATCACCAGCCTGGCAGTCATAATAAGCTTGTCCTGAAAACTGCAATTTCTTTGGTATACCAAGCTCACTATTACGGGCTCAGGTACCTTCTTGTTGCCTAACAAAGACCATTTTAAAGTCAAACGCCTATTCTCTTTACTGTTTCCTTCCTGATAGTTATGGTGTGCTGCTTTGGGAACTGCTAACAGGAGAAGTACCATTTCGAGGAATTGATGGTCTTGCAGTAGCATATGGTGTTGCCATGAATAAACTTGCCCTTCCAATCCCTTCCACATGTCCAGAGCCTTTTGCCAAACTCATGGAAGGTAAGCCAGCTGTGGTGTGAATGTGGTTTGTGCTGTTGAGCTTTGCCCCTTTTGTGTTGGTTTTGTTATGTAAGAGCACAGATCTCTCCAATGGCTTTATCCAGTGGTGGAGATTATTGTGGGAGCCAGGCCTGACTCTTAGTGTGTTGTAACAATCACTCTACTACCAGAGTAGTGAAAGAGATTTTTTATCAACTGGCTGTATAGGAAAATGGGGGCTGCTGCTGTCATCACRTAGCTTGTTTTCTATTAGTGAAGACCACCAACACCAAAACTTCACATATTTTTCTCTAACTTGAAGTCTTAAACTTGTTTTAAAATTCATAGCTTGAACATCTTGCTAGGTAGTGTCAGATTGGTTTGAAGTAAAACTTTATCCTGCTGACATTKGGGAGAGGGTTTAAATGTTGCTTTGGCATTCCAAAACTATCCATGTTTTCAGTCAGAATTATGTGATTTTCTGCTTTGTCTGTTCATGCCCAAGGTGGGCTGCATAGACATAAATKAAATACAGGAGTTAGTCATCAGTTACTGTAGTTATTAAAAAGGATTCTATGAGGTAGTTTTCAGGCCTGCTGGCCATTGCAGCTACTTTAACATTTCCTGAGCTTCAGCTGTTCCTCCCTCCCTGTCTCTCTCCCTCTCTCCTGCCCTCTCTCCCTTACCTTCAGTATTCTTGTCGGTGCCTCTATTCCCAAGGACTTCCAGGTGTTTATATGTAAAAAACATTTTATACTTATCTGGCAGAAAGGAAAACGGAGGTAAAGAGAAATCAAATCTGGTTTTATAGTCTTGGTGAGAAGAGAATGAGTCTCAACATAGAACTGATACTCTGTGGCCTTTGGTGGTGCTTTTAGTCTCAGGAAAGGAATATGAGTCATGAAGAAAATGTTTCTGATGGATTTCTCTGCTTTTGGAATACTTTTGCATTTCTGTAGTATTTTCTTTAGGTTACCGGCTTCAGTTAAAGTAAAAAAATTCATATACAATCTGCTAGAAAAAGAACTATCCTACTGGATAGCAAACAGCAGTAGAGTAGCAGGTGGAGTAGCTTGGAGGCAGAGTCAAGTGAGAAACTGCATCTGAAAGAGTTATTGGAACTGCATCTGAGAGTGTTAATGGAACTACCAGCTCAGTGTTGTGCCAGGGTAATTTGGAACGGTTCCTTAAAACAATGACCCCGCATTTCTTAATCATAAGTGAGGATTTCAAAATAATGCCCTCTGTTGGGAAAGTTAGGTAGAGGCATATGGCCAGTGCTTGAACCCAGCAGTGCAGGGGTGAGCCCCCACATGGCTTTGGAACACTTGGCTTCTCCGTGTGCAGGGCGAAGGCAAGAATGAAAGAACCAATTACTTTCTGCCCCCTCACCAAAACTGTTTTTCAAACAGGCTGTTTCCCATCTCGGGTGAACTCTTGTTCCCCTAATGCTGCTTTTACTTTTGAATTACTGCCGTGGTGGTCTTCACTGAGACAACAAAGCTGAACTTTTGCTCTTCACAGAAAAGACTTACATGTTACAACTGTCCTCATTAGTGCAAATAATGGCTGATCTAGGCCTGGGAAAATAAAAGCCACGGGCCACCTGCTAGTTATCCTGCTCACTCATTCATGCATTTGGCTGGCTGCAGCATTTTGCTTTACTTTGGGTCATGTTTGCTTTGCCATGTTTAAAACCTGGAGTAAAGAGACAGGGATTATGGTACTGACAGTCCAACTGTAACACCCATTGCTACTAATTGGCCAGCAGCAGGGGATCATCAGAGCACTCTTTAACATCCTCAGTTCTCTGTTTTGATAAAAGAAGCAAATTGAAAGCCATAAACACAAATGCGTTCCAGCTTATGCCTCATGGAACCTGTTGAGACCCACAGTTTTGAAAACAAAGCTCCTTAATGCAAAATCTCAGTAATGCTGAAATCAAATGAAAGATCTGCATAAGCAAGCCTTGGCAGTTGCACAGGTTTTGTGAAGTGATATTTATTTTAATTACATCTGCTCCTTGGTTTGCTTCAGTCCACAAAACTGATAAATGAATTAGGACATCACCAAGTATTTTTAAGAATGTCCCCTTTTTTGAGTTCAAGGTCTAGAAAACTTTTAGAGAGCATTTTTATAACTCTTTTCTTGTACTGCAGTAATGTATATCTTAAATCCAGTGACCATGTACAGCAGTGATGTATGATGAGAGACACCCAAGTGTTAGTTACTTCCGTTCATGCAGAAAAGCTATGTTCCCTATAAATACACATGAATGTTAAGTTTTTCTGATTGGCTGCTCTGGAATTTTGGCATGCAAGTATCTAGCAGTACTAAACAGCATAAGGATACTTGTTGAACAAGAACCTGTGTAAGTGCYGGCCCAGGACAGCATAGAATGAGAAAGTGATGTCTGTGGTAGTAGAAATGAGGGGGAAGTACGAGGGAGGACTGAATGAGTACACACTTCCTGTTCAAAAGTGTTGTTAAATCAAATGTTTTCACAATATGGTTGGGGGTTTTTTTGTCGCTTGAGGGGTTGCTTCATACTATTTTCTGCTTTCAGTGTTCAATTCCCATCACTGTAAAAGCATTACCTTTTGTACTGTTGCTCATTGAGTTGCCTTATGTGATAAGATGACTACTTTCAATTCTATGTTTTTAGAGCTTTGTAATTGGTTAAGTAGTTGCATTAGATTGTGAATGAAAAAACTTTTGTTTATCTATGCTTTCTTGTAAAAGCAAAAGAAAAARGTCTGATTAATTTTCTCTCAAAAAATTAAAAAGGACYTGTAAAAATAGGAAAACTCTAAATGCACTGTTTGATGTCATTATTTACTTGAGTCTCCTATTTTCACTCAAGTTATGCCCAACTTGCTTTGCAAGAGAGATGCTTCACTCTGAGAAAATATAATAACTCAGCCTAGTATTAGAGYTTGCATTAGAAAAAACCCTGACAGATAACCTCCTTCAGTATGGCTGTTAACTCTGCAGTGTAACTATCATAAAAAAAGTATTTGCAAGAACCTTGCATAGTGTTTCTATTCTGTGAGCATGTACATACATACAAATTAAAGCAGAATATTTAAGCAAATTATTTGTTATTTTAAAAAGAAGAGCTTTAAGATATAACCTTCTGTGAAATTAATAAACCTGTATTTTACTTGACATATTATTTCAAGAGAACCTAGGTAGTTAAGTAGTTCAATATTTTAAGCAATGCTGGATGTTGTACAGGCATGAAAGGATGAATTCCRTACTTGACAATAGTTAGTGCAAGTGGGCAGTGGGAAAGATGGGGTAACACAGGTAGTGTGTATGCCACTCTTGGCCACTGGGGATCAGTAAAGTACCACCCTTTCTCTCAAACCTCCATACTTAGAGATGCATGACAGTTGCTTATCTTTGTTCTGTTCTAGATTGCTGGAACCCTGACCCACACTCACGACCTTCCTTTGCCACTATCCTAGACCATCTTACTGCCATAGAAGAGTCTGGTTTTTTTGAAATGCCCAAAGATTCCTTCCACTCCCTGCAGGAAGACTGGAAACAAGAGATCCAAGAGATGTTTGATCAGCTCAGAGCCAAAGAAAAGGTAAGTAGAGAGCAATGTCCCCTCCTTGTTTTGTCTGGATTATAATTTCCCTATTTCATAATTCAAACAGGGATCGTTKTTTAGTGCATCCCAGCGCTAATTTTCTCTATGCTTTACTGGAGCTTGTATTAAGTCCTCAAATCAATGGCAGATTATGATGCACACGAGGGTAGAATCATGAGCAAAATAAATATCCACATCCTGAGCTCCTCCTCTTTCTAATATTGTAGTGAGCTTCTATTATACATTGTGCAAATTGCTGTGAGGAGTGATCTTGATTGTTTAATGTGTCTGATAACTGTTTCACTGTTAGCATCCTAATTGAGAAACCCAATGAAAACTGTTAACAGGAGATGTAGGAGGAGCAGTTTCAGCATATATACTCTAGTAAACACTGCAACTTTGATTCTGCTGGGTTTGGGGTTTTGACGTTTTGAGCGCAGCCAAAATGCATAGACTGTAATAAACATGAGTGCTAGGGGAAGGTTTCAGTAATTGCTATTATTGAAGTCCATGTGGGCAAATAGCAGGAAACAAAAATGCTAGCTGGAATAAAAGGAATGGTGACCATCAGCCTCAAAGAGGAGATGTAAAAAAGCTGAAGTTTTCTTCAGGCATACTTGCAGAAAGCACAGCTTGCTGCATCTAAGTTAAGATCCTTCAGAGACTGTCTTTAGCTGTTGTTAAGAAAAACTGCTGCAAAATCACTAGCACAKTAGTATATTTATAAGTTCACAGTTTCTTTCCTGAAAATAAATTCATAATAAGCAGCCATGTTGATTTGGGCTCAGAGGCTGGGTTTAGGAGGCATAGAGAAGGAAAAGAATGCTTTGAATCAGAGGAGAGAAGTCAACTTCTGCAATACTTAAAACATGTCTATTCACCTATTATAGTAGCTTTTGGGAAAATAAATTAATTGATAGGAAATGCCTTGATACTGTGTCCCATGGYGTAACTGTGTTGGAACAGTTTTTGAAAAACAGAAACTTCAACAAACAAACAGACACGGTCCTTAGGTTGAGTACTGTATTCCTCTTTAGCATTGGGGAAATAATTTTATATACTGTTCACTTAATTGAGTAAAATGTACCAGATCTCTGTTGTGATGAGCCCGGTAACAGTGCCATTATTAAAAACATCTAAACTAAAATCTATCTGATTATCTATCTGAAATTTAACTTAAATTCTTCAGTTTTTATCTTCTGCACTGGAATTGGCCAGCTGGAGAGACTTATTCTGAGTGCTGAGTTCTTTTGTCCTTGTGGTGAGGAGAGGAGCGCCAGTGGGATTTTGGGATTTCAAGGACAGTTTCAGTTAATTCATTTTGTCAGCAAGGGATAGACTGAAAGGTTTGCGTTATGTGCCCTTGCCAAGACAGTGTCAAGAGAGCTTTTGAATATCCCCAAGAAGGGAGGCTCCACAACMTCTCTGGGCAACCTGTGCCAGTGCTCAGTAATGCAGTAAAAAGTGTTCAGAGGGAGTACCCTGTGTTTCAGTGTGTGCCCATTGCTCTTGTGCTGTCACTGGGCATTGCTCAAGAGAACATGGCTTTATCGTTTTTTCACTCTTCCCTCAGATTTTTTATACCATGATGAGATCCCCCTTGCCCCACCCGAATTTTCTCTGTGATAGCATGAACAGTCCCATTTCTCTCAGCCTTTCTCATAGAAGAGATGCTCTAGTCTCTTATTCACCTTCATGGCCTTTTATTGGACTGTCTCCAGTATATCCATGTCTGTCTTGTACTGGAGAGCCTAGAATTTAACCGAAGATTTCAGGTGTGGCCTCACAAATGGTTATGTCTGAATTTTAATACTGGTACAAGGRCCCTTGAATGGCAGGCACTGAAGTCCTTGAGGATTGTTTTTGGCTCTCAACTGAGCCTTTAACCGGTGGCGTTAGCAGTTCTGTGAGCTGTCACAAGTCATTGAAGCTGTCCCTTCAGAACAGGTGACATTAGTCTTAACCCACAGGTCACAAGGTAGCCTTTTGTTTCTGCTTTCTTATCACCCTGCAGGAGCTGCGCACRTGGGAGGAAGAGCTGAGTCGTGCTGCTGTTGAACAGAAGAACCATGAGGAGCTGCTACGAAGGAGGGAACAGGAGCTGGCAGAACGTGAGATTGACATCCTGGAGAGGGAGCTCAACATCATCATCCACCAGCTGTGTCAGGAGAAGCCTCGGGTCAAGAAACGCATGGGGAAGTTCAAGAGGAGCCGGCTCAAGTTAAAGGATGGCAATCACATCAGCTTGCCTTCAGGTTGGTAATGTGTTAGGTTGTGCCAGGTGAAATGGGAGCAGCCTGTGGGTTTGACAGTTCCTTGCTACTGACCCTTATGCTTTAGAAAGTTTATATACTTTGGGTAAAACATGCCTCTTTGGGATGAATAAACTGAATTTAATRCTCTTGTGACTAGCATTGCCCCAAGTTCCAAGATGAAGGCCAGAAGTAAATTTGAGATGTTATATGTTTGTTAGTCATTGGCTGTATATGACTTATTTTAAAAATGTTGCAGTTTAACATGTTAATACTCAAAATAATCAGTTCATTATAGGATGWATGTAGAAAATGATGGAGGTTTGTGGTCTTAGAACATTTTACATAATTCTGCAGCAGAAACCATAATCTACTGGATTTTTTGGTGTAGGAATCTAAAAATTACCGAAAATACATTGATAGCTGTGASACTATAGCCCTAGATTGCTAGTTCATGTGAACTCCTGTTAACCCGCAAGTGACTTCTAATACCACCCTTCTGGGAGAAATGTTAAATATTTGTAAAGTGTTGGCAAAGTCACTCTTAAGAGTAAAGATGGTGACATTCAGAAATACTGAATCCTTGGCATTTCTACTGCAGATTCTTTATGGAGGTTTAAAGTTGTAAAAGAACAAAAGAGTGGGGTTTACAAATCACCTAGTGCTCATCTTTGCATTGGGGATGATGACTTGCACTGTAGTCTTTGTTTTCTGGGAGATATTGGCTGTTCAGAAGAGAAAGTATGATAAAATATGTATGTCTTTAGGTCTGCAAACRCCTATTTTTGGTGGCGCTTAAGAAACTGAGAGGTAAGGTGCAAGGATTTATACAGGGATATACTTTGGCATGTCAGTCAACACAAAGTCTGTATGTGTATGTGTTTCACACATACGCTAAGAAGGTACATTTTCAGGGCCATGAGTGCACATCTTTGTTCTGAATTCTCAGTGTGTACAATGGGCAAACAGCAATTAGCTCTAAAACTTCATTTCTACACAGATCCTGTAAGTTGCACTCTTTGAAAATTACCATAAGCTATTATTTATTTATTATATTTTAAAGAAAGATAATTTAAACTGTGTCTTTCTGCTTTTATTTTGTTTTTTTTTTTCTTTTGCTAAACAGATTTTCAGCATAAATTCACTGTACAGGCTTCTCCAACGATGGACAAAAGGAAAAGCTTGATCAGTAGCTGCTCCAGCCCTCCTGCAAGTCCTACCATTATTCCCAGACTCAGGGCCATACAGTGTAAGGAGCTCAATGTAGTATTGAATTTGGGAAATGTGCAGTCTGTCAGCGTGGTAGGATGCCAAGGTGCCATATCTAGGACAGGACTGTTAAATAAAGTACCTAAAATGTTTGCCTTGTGCCTTKCATGTATACATTTAGAGAGAAAAATGGTGTGTCTTGGTGATGGGGGGACTGTCACTTCCTTTGGAGCTGAAACCATACTTATCCAAGTTCTCGAAAYACTGCTGTTTCTATAGAAAATATAWCCCTTAGGTGTACAAGTTAATTTTTAAAAAAACTAATTTGCAGAGTAGATCTGTGAAATATTGCTTTAGTTTTTTTAAGGTACCATTTTAAGGAAATAAGACCAAGGGCGCTTGTCATGCAAATAGTGTTCCCATAATAACACAAAATTAGGCAGGCATGCATGTCTTAGAATTATGAAAGTCATGTTAACTAATGTGTAGTGTTTGTATTGGATATCACASCACTTGTGTGTTTGGTTTCAAACTGGTGGTTCTAAAGAGAAACCAGTGATGGAGTAAAGCTCTAGAGGCTACCTATACCTGAAAGGATTAGGGAATGTCTACTTTGGCATTTGGTTGTTAGAGCTRTATTGATAAATGGTCAGAATTATGGGCAAATCACTTTTGTTACTGTTCCTATTCTGACCTATGTTTTGTTCTTTATGTTGCCATGGAACCAGTCCTTTTAATTTGTATCTGTTTTTCTTTTCCCATTTTCCACTGTTTTTTGCACTTGTGAAGTGACACCTGCTGAAAGCAGTAAAACGTGGGGTCGAAGCTCAGTCCTTCCAAAGGAGGAAGGAGAGGAAGAAGAGAAGAGAGGCCAGAAGAAAAAGGGACGCACTTGGGGACCAAGCTCACTTTGTCACAAGGAGCTAGGCACAGGAGAAGAGGGGTAAGAGAGGGCCTGGAGGCAGACTCGTTTCCAGCTTCTAGAACTAGTCATGAGCTCACTCATGGGACAGTTGCCCATCTGCTTGCAAACGCTTTTCTGCTTCCTAACTTATTTCCTGTACCAGAGATATTAGAGATTCAGAACAGCTTACAAAATTGCATTCAGTTCCTTTGCTAGTGATTGCTGTTGTTAGATGTATTTTTAAGCAGTCAAACTCCTTAGCTGTGCAAAACTGTCTCTAATAGATTTTCTCTGTTTTAAGGCTCAGCTTTTTGTAATTTCATATAATATCTGAAACTGTTTCTCTCTTACAATTCTCAGATACGCTTTTTCTGTCTTAAGTGCTGTTCTCTAAAAAGTATCTGATAAAGCCAAGCAAGTATCTTCAGTCTTTTGAAAAGGACATGTATCTTGAGTAAATCAATCCTGAAAGTGATTTTTGCAGAGATACAAGTTGTACCTCTGTTTCTATAGGTTATTGTTCTATAGCTTCTTCTTACTGTGTGTGAATGATTTATATCAAGGCTCCAATGAATCATTTCTGTAATGTTGCTTTAAACATATGAGTATTTTCGCCTCATAAAATATTTAAATGCTTTGTAATTTTTAGTGGAGTTTGAGCATTTTCCACCTGCTRAATTGAGGATTTGACTCTTGCCGTATTTTTTAGCAGGGAAAATAAAATAGCTGTTTATAATCTTTATCTTTACTATTGTGTGTTTAGGTGTGAAATGCCTGAAAAATTGATGTTTGCATAATGCATCAGTATGTCAGCCCTCTGCAAGAGGGCCTAAACCTATTAAAATGTATTCTCTCTCTAAGATACTCAAGACATGTTTGACAGGACAATGTGGAAGAGGCTTCTTTGAATGCTGCCTCTGCTTTACCTATTCTACAAATGAAGAATAGCATTTCACAAAATTAAAATAATTTTACACTTTACAATCATAAATTATGTAAAAGGGCAGGAGATCACTGAAGCTGGAAAAAAAAAACTTCTACCTTGAAATCATGTTCTTAGAATTCTGGGAATAGAGCTCTTTCATTTTTTGTTCATTATTGTACAGACTGAAGCACTCATTGCTTCTGGGCACAGACAGCTGSAAAGAAGTTGCTCGCAGACTGTGGTGGCTCATAAAACTATCCTGTTCTCTCTACATTGAGATGTTCTGTAGTATTCAGAATCTTTGCTAGGGAGACTTGATACAGATATCACATTTTGCAGAATATCTGAAATGTGAGAGTGTTGCTGAGAGGGCAGTATGGCTAACATACAATGAACCACTCCTTGCTGAGATCATGCCAGACTGCAGACTTTATTTAAAGAGAGTAAAAGTGACTCAAAAGATAGTTCTTGMTATTTTTTAGTATTTTTAAATTACTATTTTACAGGGTAAGGATTCATTGATTATTTAAGGTTGGAAAAGACCTTTAAGATAGAGTCCAACCATTAACCTAGCCTCCACTACATTCACCACTAAACCATATCCTGAAGTACCACATCCACACACCTTCTGAAGACTTCCAGGATAGTGATTCCACCACTTTACTGGGCACCCTRTTCCAATGCCTGACCACCCTTTCAKTGAGGAAATTTCTCYTAATACCTAATCTTAAATCTCTCTTGGTGTAACTTCTTGAGGCCATTTTCTCTTGTCCTGCCACTTGCTACTTGGGAGAAGAGGCCAATCCCCATGTGGCTACACCCTCCTTACAGGGGGTTGAAGAAAGTGGTAAGGTCTCCCCCAGCTTCCTTTTCTACAAACTAAACRACCCCAGCTCCCTCAGCTACTCCTCATGTGAGTGACTTTCTAGGCCCTTCCCCAGCTCCACTGCCCTTCTCTGGACACTCTCCAGCTCTTTGGTGTTTCTCTTGTAGTGAGGGGCCCAGAACTGAACACAGGATTCAAGGCGTGGCCTCGCCCACACYGAGTACAGGAAAATAGTCACTTCCCTAGCCCTGTCAGGATGCCTTTGGCTTTCTTGGCTACCTGGGCACACTGCTGACTCATATTCAGCTGCCTGTTGACCAACATCTCCAGATCCTTTTTCACTGAGGAAGTTTCCAGCCACTCATCCCCAAGCCTGTAGCATTGCATGGGATTGTTGTGACCCAAGTGCAGAACCCAGTCACSTTATTGCACCTTGGACAGTTGGCCTTGGTCCATCAATGCAGCCTGTCCAGATCCCTCTGCAGAGCCTTCCTGCCCTCCAGCAGATCAGCATTTCCACCCAACTTGGTCAACTGACTTCGGGGTGCCCTCCATCCCCTTGTCCAGGTCATTGATAAAGATATTAAACAGGGCTGACCCAAATACTGAGCCCTGGGGGTCAAGTGAAGAGGTAAATTTACGATAGAAAAGTCCAGTTCAAGTATTCTTCATAACCCCATTCTGGTAGCAGAAGTGCTGCTGTTACTGCTGCTTATGTGCCAATGTGATCCAGGGAACTTCTATCTACATATTTTTTTATCACTTTCCATATATTCTGCAAAGGCGATAATTCCAAGTTTATGCAAAGAATAGCACAGTGAGAATTTCAGTGACCTATAATTAACATCAAATAAAGGTAGTCATGAAAAGATGATACAGTGATTATTCACCCTTCTCTATTTATCTTTGAACATAATGAATATGCAAAGCAGGGAAAGGGTTTTGTGGTGAATTGCAGAGACTGGATGAAGCTTTATGTTGAACTAGTTCTGTGACAGTTCAGTTGTCATCTTATGGCGTATTCTCAAGGATATATAGAAGTTTTTGTCTTYAAACTTGGCATTGATTAATCACAGACTTACTATGTCATAGGTGAGGGTCATCCTATTTTTCACACTGGTTACTAATTTTACAGAGGTTGATAGTGGATGTGACTTAACAATCCTTCAGCAGTTATGTCAAAATCTTGCAATCTAATAGGTGTGAGCCTGGGAACAGACTTTTTTTATTCATGACAGTCTTATATTAATGCATTAACTTGGTATTACAGAATATTAATATTAATTACAGGTATTAAGACACCAGAGATTCTGTCTTACAGTTGTAGAGACGTTTTTTGCAATTTGTTGAGCAAACAAACTTTGTCATCTTACCATTCTTAAAAAGAGGTACCTTTGACTTCCCAGTAGACAAAGGCAACAGAAAGGCAACTCAATCAGAAAGCAACAAAATAACAATCTTCTGGTTTGTTAATCTAAATAGATCGCAGGTAAGAAGTCTTTAGGTTCCTGAATTGTTTTGTTGGTGATTGAGATATAGTTTTAGTGCTAGTGCTTTCAAATTATTCCAATTGCTGTTTCCTTAGGGCAGTAACAGACAATGCTGCTTTAGTAGGAACATTCTCTAAGTCAGCATGTTTTGAATTGTTTTCAAATGCACGCCACTGTCTAATCAAGATGATGTGCAGCAGTCTTCTGACCAGGTCTTTGAGATCTGCTTGTRATTTAGGGAAGAAGAGAGGGAGCAAAAAATAAAAGGGAAGGATGAAAATTTTATAACCCTGAGACAAACATAGCAGGCCTTGAAATCATTCTGGTAGCTATTTATCTCCCTGTTCAGATTGAACTGCACTGTGACAGTAACAGCAAWTCTTAAGTCTGTTCTTTGCAAGGGAAGATTGCTCTGAGAAGTCATGAGGAAGTAAACTAAGTTGAGTATGTGTTTTCCCAGCTTCATGGAAATCTCACCTTCCATGAGGTAGTTGTCTACCCGTATTTTAAGAGCTTTGAGGTTTTGTTTTGGAGGTGTTTACGCTGCTAACATGGTTCATTTTCACTCACCAGCTTTCCCTTAACATGCATCTCTGTTTATAGTATGTATCCTAGGTAGACATGTTGTATACCTGGGTAATTTAGATCAAATAAATGTTGCTCAGTGTGTTGTGTWCCATAGCTGAGTATACTGTGGAGGGAGTAAATCAGAATAGACCCACACACTGAATTGCATCTCTGTTATAAAACCCTTTGGTTTTGTTTGTCTTGAGAAAAAGAGTTCAGCAGTTTGCTGTCTGGACTCCAGATCACAGCAGGGTCTTGAGTCATGTGTCAGAATGGTTAATGGGGATGGACTTGCAAGGCAGTTGAGAACTGCACAAATGCATCTAGTGTAATGTCTATACCACAATCACCAACTGACTGATCATGTGCTGAATCAAGTTTAGGTCCTGTGGCCTTGCTATTACTGAAGTATAGTTTGGTGACGAGTACAGCTCTCAATTGGGTAGAGAGCAGAGGAAAAATTCATACCAAGGCAAAAGAAATCCCAATATAATTTTGAAACCCTGGAATGGAAGCCATCTTAGAAATGCAGAATGATTCTGATGGAAAATAAGAATTGTGAGAGATAACTTATAGATGCTTCTATTTCCCTTTCTCTCTAATTGCTGGCAATTACGTGTCCTACCAAAAAACAATGCAAGTTACAAGAGACTGGAAGAGATCTTAYCTTCAAGTTTTCTGTTCTTTCAATAACAAGTCAATGCTTTTGTGTGTCCAGTTGAGATTAATTCAGACTATCTGGAGATCTTTTTATTCCTTCCATGTAATTTCTGCCTATCCTAAGTGTGTGTGGCTTTTTACCAACACTATGATATTTCATGTTGGAGTTGGTAGAGAAAGGCATCAAAAATTTTCCAGTTCAGACTATATTGATGAATGAATAATAAAACTTTGAATATTGATTTATCAGGAAGTTGTGCTGTTAACGAAAGTTGTTGACCATGTCTGATGTCATGAAACTAATGCAGGATGATGGTAATGAACACCTATGAATAGGGATTAATAATAAATTCAGGAGCCTGGTGACAGGCATACTTTTAGACACAGGTCAAAGTAGGGTTTTGGGTTTGGGTTCTTCTCTTGGGCTTTTTTTGTTTGTAAGTAAAAGAAACAATGACATTATTTATAAGTTTTATTAYCTTTTTTCTCACAATCTAGAACTTGTGCTTTTAACTTTCTGCACTTCAATACAGTGCTTTCTTCATTGGAAAAATACTGGGATTTATAATACAGAGTCAGGCTTTGCTGTTACAGTGACTTTGGCTTATTATTTTATTTGTCCTARTAAGTGATGTTTGAATTTCATTGTTCATTTGTGTTTCACATGTAAACATTTTTGGGGGGTATTTTCCTCTCACCTTGCTGAGCAATTTATTTTTTACCTGCCATGGTAAGATTGATTGCAAAAGAAATCAAAATGCCTTGGTTTAAAAAGGATGTTTCATCTGATTTCTGTAGTGGTGCTTTCTATTATTCTGCATTCATAGCTTGTTAGTTATCAGCAGAGGCCTCTTGACTGCCATGGTGTAACAAATGAGGGAGGGACCTTTTGACTGGTTATTTTTTTTGTATTTTAAGGTGTTATAAAGATGTCACAAAATTTCTTGCTATGAGAGAACTTCAGTAGTTGAGATGGATACATGCCTACCCTAAGTAGATCAATAGAGAGTACGGAAAGGGAGAATGGAAACTGTGAGCATGGTACATTTTCTCACATCCTTCTACTATTTCAGTCTGAAAGCTCTGGTAGAAGGATGCAAGCAGTGGTCATCCAGTGCACCAAACCTTGTGAAGATCCAGAGAACTGCACCTGCTTTTCCAGGATTCACCAGCTTAGCAGAGATGGGTAAAGGAATTCCCTGAATTTGGTACTTTCATCCCCACTTCCTTTCACATTTTAATGAACCTCTTTCCTGACCTTCACCTGGTACCTTACAGCAATGTTTTCATTTTGTTTGGTATCTGTTTTTCTTTTGTTCTCTGTCAACTATCCAATTTATCCTTCTGGATTTTCTTTTTGTTGACCTCATTACTTGTGCTTCTCCCKCTTCAAGCCAGCAAGTTTCTGTTAATTGTCCTCTAGCTCCATGTTGTCTCTCAGCTCCTTTTCTGTATGATATTTACATGTGCAGCATGCATGAACCTTTACTTGCAAGGAGGAATCCTTATAATTTTCCTGCCTTTTGCTCCTCACTCACAAACACATAAATTTATCCTAGAAATAAATGAGATGCAGGTTGTTTTTGAAATGTTGTTCTGAATTAATCCCAAGTGGATGAGTGCTTCACTAATTTCTTCCACTTCGATAGTATTTGGGACTTGATGAATGATGTTTGTGATGAGAACAGTTGCATCTTCTGAGGAGAAGCTTATTTTCAAGTATATTTCTAAGACAATGGATTTGCCAGTGAAAATATTACATTGACACAAAGTCTGTTTTCATTTRCTTTCCAGATGATGAGGACAGTGAATGTCTTAATGGAGAGGGCAAAGTGCACCCTTCACCTGTGCACAATCAATCATATCTCTGCATCCCATTTCAGAAGAATGAAGAKTGGGATGGCCCTTCTAGTGATGCCAATGAGGAGTCCACCCCTGTAAACTCTGCTACGAGTACCCCTCAGCTAACACCCACCAACAGCCTCAAACGTAGCGGCTCCCACCACAAGCGATGTGAGGTTGCATTGCTTGGCTGTGGAGCAGTGCTGGCTGCTGCAGGCCTGGGTTTTGATCTGTTAGAAGCAGGGAAGTGTCAGCTGCTGATTGAGGAAGAGCCGGAGGTGCCCAAGGAAGAGAAGAAGAAGCGTGACAGCATTTTTCAGCGAGCTGGACGCCCACGCAGGAGTACTAGTCCACCTTCCCGAAAGATCTTCAGGAAGGAAGATCCCCTGTTGTTGCTGGGCGAGCCATCCACATCCCTCACCCTTCTTTCCCTGTCTTCCATTTCCGAATGTAATTCCACCCGGTCCCTGCTGCGCTCGGACAGTGATGAGATTGTGGTTTATGAGATGCCTGTCAGCCCAGTGACAGTCAAGGCTCCTTTGCCAGCCGTTACAAACCCTTTGGTCAATGTCCAGATTGAGAGGTTCAAACAAGACCCCAACCAATCCCTGACTCCCACACACGTGACGCTCTCTTCCCACACCCAGCAAAGCGGACACAGGCGCACACCTTCYGATGGGGCCATCAAAGGGAGTGGACTGGTTGTCAATGGGTGCCCAACCAGTGGATGCCCTTCCAGTAGCTGTTTAACTGGAGCATTGGGAGCAGGTAGGTTTTCATCTATCTTCCTTTGCCTCTTCAGCAGTATAATTACTTGTTGTTTACACATTCATTGAGATGACCAGCCCCCAAGAATTGCTTGTGGAGGCTGTCTTTACACAAATAGCTAACGGAATAATGCAGTAATGGTTTCAGTTCCAGCATCTCTACACTGAGGAACTCTCTCTGCTCCCTCGTGCTGTGAGGCAGAGCACAATATTGCTTCTTAGACAAAAAYGTACCGAAGTACAAATATAGCATCTTTTTCTCAGGATTCCCCATCTCCAGTGCCTTTATACACTTGTTTGTACTTCAAAGTAAATTCTGATCTCTAAGGTGAAAATGGRATCTCTAAAATAGTTTGAGGCTGTGCTGCTGTTGCTCTAATTCCTTTGCAAACAAGAGAGATCTTTCTGGGTAGGTAGTGTTTTACTGTTGCAGCCTTTGGAGTAGCTGTGACTTCGTAACTTAAAAAATGCTTTATTGTGTTCTTGCCCTAGTAATTTACAGGAAAAAAATTAAGTATTAGAATCGTAAATTAAAATCTGATTTAATTAGCCTTTTCCCAAAAGTAAAACAAAATATGACGTTGTCTTTTGAACGGAAGTCTGCAGTAAAATATGGGTTAATTCAGCTGAAAAATACTCAKTAAAATAGTACTAATGAAAATGTAGATGTTATGCTGTGTTTATAAAARAAAACAACCAAACAGCACACCCCACCCATAAATGAAGAACAACTAGGAAGCAKCTGCAGTAGGTAGTGTTAAGTGACTCTTCAGATAGTTGGTCCTGCTTATGGCAAACAGGTGTCATGTATGTTGCTGTGCAAATGTCTCCCTGATCCATTCAAGCTSTTAGTGGGTAGTGTGCCTTCCAGAGGACGTGGGGAGACCTCACCTCTGGCAGGAGGTCAAATCCATGCTCTCTAGTCTGAAAGTGGAAGAAAACACATGAGCGAATGGTTAAAACCTGGTGCTTGTTCTAGGTCAGTGAAACAGATGTCTTGAAATGTGTTGAGAACAGTGTAGGGATAAAGAAGCCAGTCACTTCTGGCTGCCATAATCTTGAAGATAGGGAGTTTGTGGATTCTGAATGGAAGCTTTCTGCTTTGCAAATGTTTTTGCACTGTACCTGCAATAAACTAAGACCTGTAGGAACGACTTAGYAGTGGCATCTAACGTGTTTTCCTCTCTTCTTACATTGTCTGTTTTGGATAGGTGTATTAAAAACACCTAGTCCAAGCAGAGATCCCAGTGAGGTCCCTCGCCTGCCAGACCCCAACCTTGTTTTTCCTCCAACCCCGAGACGATGGAATGCACAGCAGGATCCTACACTGGAAAGACCCAAGACATTGGAGTTCCTGCCCCGGCCACGTCCTGCAGCCAGTCGGCAGCGGCTTGATCCCTGGTGGTTTGTGTCACCCAGCAACGCCAAGGGTGAATCTTCTGCCAACAGTTCAAGTACTGATACTCCAAGCAATCTGGACTCTTGTTTTGCTAGTAGCAGCAGCACTGTAGAAGAGAGACCTGCACTGCCTGCACTGCTTCCTTTCCAGGTGGGTCCTCCTGTAGAGGAGCGGACACTGTTGGACATGGATGCTGAGGGGCAGAGCCAGGATAGCACCGTTCCGCTATGCAGAAGTGAACTTAACACACACAAAGCTGCAGCATATGAACTCAAGCAAGAATTCTGGTCTTAATATGAAACCACTGGGGATAGTGAGCCCCTCTAAATTCAATCCTACTTTTGCACTGAGAATGCACTTTGAAGACAGATGAGATGGAGGGATGCTACAGAGATCATATGGTGCTGCCTCTGCTGAAGATAYGTTGTTGACTGCCTGGTTTTTGTCTGCATTTGGTTGAAATGCAGCAACTCTGAGCTGCTGACTTTTGCTGTGGGGTTTTTCTGTAGTCTTCCCTGCCCTCTTATTGCAGTTTGAATCTGCAATGAGCTAAAATTATCATATCAAAGTCTTTTGTTACTGACCTGGTAGGATTTGGCACTTGCAGTAAGTATATTGGTATCTATCCTGGTATTAATCAGTATTTTCAAAACTCAAATATAACACTACAGCAGACATCAGTGTTTGATGTTTTCCCAAGGAATCCAGAACAAAAACAAATATCTGGAGACTACCTTCTCTGAAATACATTCAGATCATTAGATGGGCCTGGGAATCACCATACCCCCAACTGAAAGAGCAGAAGTAGCTATCTTAAGACTTGTTTGTCCTTTTTTGCTGGTGAGATAGTGTAAGGTGGAACAAATGGCAGASGAAGGGCATGGCATCTCCACTGGTGGAGGTCTTTGAGAGCAAGTGAACCAGACTGTTGGAAACAGGTAGATGTAGTTGATCCTGGCTTCGAGGTAGGTTGAATGAACTTCTGTGGTCTCTTGAGGTCCCTCTCAGCTCTATTTTTTWTGACTCTGTGCTTTTGAGATGAAGGCTTTTTGGTATGGCTGTTTAGCTTGTTTTTTGTTTCAGACTTTGGTTCCATCAGTCTCATTTTTTCCCACCCTGTTTCTCAGACTCATAGGCAAGTTGCCTCAGCTATGGGAGGGGAATTAGCAGAAACTTTCTTTAAAGATGTGTTGGCTTGCAGAAGTAAGTTATGCCTTTCCAGATTCTTTCTTTCTGKTTTTTTTTTTCCTTCCTTTTGCCTCTTAGGAGTGACCCATGAAACCCAAGACTGTTCTTATGCACACTGCTACTTGTTTAAGGCTATTTTGAAAATGAGGCTTGTTAGTGTTTAGATTGTGCAAACAGGAATCAGAACATCTGGATTCTGTTTTATTTTGTCACTGACTCACTGTGTGACCCTGGGCAAATAATGTAACCTCTGTGCCTGAATTTCCCCATCTGTAAATACTAGGAATAATACCTACCTCACAAGGGGAGGGGTTGGGACATATGTAATAGGTATAAAGTCCTTTGAGATCTTTCAGTGAAAGGCACTAGACATGTAAAACTTCATTCTTGTTCAAATATGTAAAACACTTCTGGATCTGGAGCAAGAACAGATCGCTGTCTGGGAGGAGGAAGTCACACAAATAGGGTGTGCCTATGCTCAGAGTTTTCTGTACWAAGACTTCAAGTGTGTCTGTGCCACAGCAGGTACATCTTACTGACTGTAATAAGAGCTTCAATCTTCCCCAAATWCGGCATTATATATAAGGAATGTGGCCTTTATTCGAGTGTAGTAGAGTAGTCTGCTTTGTTGCAGGGTACAGCATGTCTGTTCACTGTTTTTGTACAGATCTGTGCTTGTTTTGCTGATCTACAGATACTTGGTTGCAAATAACTTGTTGCCAGTGCTACCAATGCAGTGCACAGCCTGTTGGGGCAGTCCAGCGCTGTTGTGAAGGCAGTGTGGCTGAACACTTCCTGCAGCTGTCAGCACAGAGAACCTGCGTGTTTTGATGTTTGTAAYCTGATTTTAAAAACCAGCATGTGTGGGGAAGAACTGTGCGTAAGGCTTTTTAATTCTGTTTAAGGACTGAAACCAGCATGTTCCTGTTAGTCAAGTGCACCTTTTCCCAGGCAATTACGGTATGTTTTTGTGTTGAAAGGTCACATATTTCTTGTTTATCATATGCCATGGCARATGCTTAATGGCAGAATTACTTTTGCTGCCCTCCCATTGAATGCTCCAGAGCTAGCCTTAGTGGTGCTACACCTGAGGTTGAAGCTGGAGAGACTGTTGATTGTGTAGACAAGGTATTATGATGTGGGACTAAGATACTTAAAGCTTACATTTCTGACTCTTTTGTTAAATTTAGACTTTTAGCATTATTGATTTYTTAAGCATCATTTTGCTTTCCATTTCTGAAAACTCAATTTGTGACCCAGAGAGTAGTAAAAAGACAAAACTCATCCAACAGATTGCTAATTTTGATTGTGCTGCAACTTGACCTTACTGTAATCTCAGTTAGAGGCTGTTTCAGAGGGACTTAAAAGAAGGACATTAAAATAATGTATTTTCATAGCCTTCCTTACCATTTAAAAAAGTCTGAGAAAAACTGGATCAGCTGTTCTGAAATGTAATGTTTTCTATCGAAAAAGCATCATTGTAATTGTCATAGGGAATATCATGTGCTCTGCAAAGGCCTCACCTGCATTTGAACAGAAATCCTTAAAATCCCTTTACTTGCATGAAATGAGAGGCAGTCTTTCTAGGTTGCAGTGATATAACTCAGCTTGCTAAACTAGTTGCTGGCCAGTAGATTTCACCAAGTGAGCTTAAAGATTTCTTTCAAGTTCCCAGGAAAGACAGCTGTAAAGGCAAGTTGTTCTGTCACCTCTTTTGCTTAAGGAAGTTGAGGATGAACTGTTAAACTCCCCTTGCCCCTCTGTTTTATGTAATCACTTGGTGAAAGTGGTATGTAGGTGAACTATGAGAAGTACTTTGCTCCAAGAGCATTTTCCCCAATACCAAATGGACATTTCTGTCATCAAATGGTGACAAGAGTCAAGGACCTATATCAGGGTTACCAAACTAGATACTGTAATTATGAAGCTGCCAGAAGGACTAATTAGAATCCTGTTGTTTCGTATGTGTTTGTTTTGTGGGTTTTGGCGTTTTTTTTAATCCTTTTTCGATGCAGTGATCTTCATTGAATCTAACGTGTGAATTAACCTGAGGTAGTCTGAGCATCATCCCCTCAGGGGCCAACCTGAGATATCAGGCAAGAGGAGTCTGTTGTAGGAACAAGGCTACTGACTTCTGCAGGTGTTGGGGTATTCTCGGGCACGCAGAGAGGGGACTCAAGACAAAGAGTTGTGAAGTATTTTATCTTATGCACTCYGAAAGCTGTTGGAGCTGTTGGCCCTGTCTCCTAAGGCCCAGAGACTGTGAGCATGTTTAAGCTAGCTCAAAAACCTCTCTCTATCCATCTGTCCCATCCTGGCTTGGATTCTTGGTTTCTTAATCTGTTGGGCTTTTTCCTTGCCAGCCGTAGGATCTGAGGTGCTCCAAATCTCCAAAGCAGTGGTTGATTGTAGTCTACTAGATAGTGAGAAGGTGTGAGCCCATCAGCTCAGAATCTTTTTTTTTCCTACTGATTGCTAGTATTCCCCTTTGTCAGGGAAACAAAAGTGTCAAAATATTGGTTATTGATCTACCTTGCTAGTGGTAATCTTGAGGAAGACGGTGAAATTCTTACTTAAAAAAAATCAAATAAATTTGTTATATCTGAATAAGTTGCACTTGTTTTTGTCTGAAAAAATGAGATAAAGATAACATGAAACTTCACTGAGCAGTTTAAAATAATGACAAAAAATGGAGAAAAATGTGTTTGATTACAGGCCTTACAAAGAGGAACTGACAGTTTTTTAACTGATAATAATAATGAGATTGTAGCTGAGAGAAATGTTTGCGGTTTAGAAATATATTTGTATTTTTGTTTAGTCAGCTGGCAGTGTGTATCACTAATTTATGTAATTGATGTGATGATTTAGGAAATAGAAAGAAGTTTGTCAGCCTTTCAAAATAAGCTATCCTTGTAACCTGTTCAGTTTTTGTGAAATTTGGGGGAAGGCACAGACAAAGCAACCCGTCTGAAAAAAGACAATTGTTTGGATAAATTTCTACTGGTTTCATAGAAATTGAGTGTGGGGCAAGTAGAGAGAAGAAAGCTTTTRTGTCAAAACTAAGGTGAATAAATAGTAATGGATTCTTTTCTAATACTGTTGCTTCTTATGAACTGCACAGTACTCTGTTTTACCTGCAAATAGGTCTTAATCTCCTTTCAATCCTTTTCAGAGGTGCAAATGTAACTTTTTATACATATTTATACATTCTCTCCAGGTTATTATTGCAATGGGTTGATATTCTGTATGGGGCGGAGAACTTCAGTGAAAATACTCTTTTTGTAATAGTTTTCTAACAAAACGAGTATTTTSAAAGTGAGTTTTTTGTTATTGATGTGGAAAGACCTGTTCTGGTTTGGCATGACTTATGCCAATAGTTCATAGTTATGATGAACTATTTTTCTGTACCTCTAGGATTGGGAGTAGTTGCCTTCCTCTTCATAGCATGCTGTTATCGTAAGATACTGGACAATACTGCGTAGGGTTGTTACTTTGATATATCATGAAACTGGATACCTCTCATTCTTTTAAAGGTGAGGCAGTAATGGTCAAGTAAAAAAAAGGTCTTTGCCTCTAGAGTGTTTTGTTAAATGAAACATGACAGAAGACCTCCCACCTTGAGTCACCTTCCTATCACGAGATTCATTTTTAGTTGAAACCCCATTCATCTCTGGGGGGTGAATATGGGAGCTGGAATCTCATTAGATGTATGGAACCAAACCTATTACCATGTCCCAAAATTCAATGATAGCCTGTTATTTTTGCAAGTAATTTTAAGCTAGTATTAAGGGTTTGTTTCTTTTGGATTTTTTTAAATATTTCTTCTTGGAAAATGTGCTTATTGCTTTCTGACCTTTTCCTTGCGTTTTGGAGATAGTCTCTCAAGAGCTCCTACCAATTCTATGGTGTTTAAAAAGGGTTATATCTTGCACAGTGTTTTAAGTCCTCCTTTTGGCTTTGTGGGTTTTTTTTTTTTTTTNTTTTTTTTTTTTTTTGTATGAAACAAGGACATTTATATTTGGAAAGATTTCTGATCCTTATCCTGTCACTCCAGAACAGTTTCTTGGCTTCCGCRTCTATAAGTTATGTAAGACTGTAATTCGGGTAAAACTGGACATTAAAAGTGAGGGAATAGACATGTGTTGAAACATATTTGCAAACGAGCAATAAATACAGTAGATACAAGAGCCAGATACCCTCTCACTGTCACAGAGCATGACTTCATAAACCTTTGGYTGATGATATAATAAGGTATCTATGGGAAAGAAAGCCTTCTCATGTTTTTTGTTAAGTTTACTATTTTAATATTAGAATAGCTAGATAGACAGAAATGATCTTGAAGCAAATTTGCTTTTTTCTCATCTATTTTCAGTCCAGGTTTTTTGTCTAATTATTTTTTCTTTTTTTTTTTGTGTTTAACAAACAATACAGTCTTAAGAACTTATTAACCTTACTTTCACGATTTCATGAGGCATTTTGGAAACAAATTTATGGCTTATTCTGGTGCTCCCTCTATTGAACACATTAGGGGAAAGWCATGCTGCAGTTAAAATGTGCATTTGCTTTTGGTTTTTCCTATGCTCAGCTTTTTTAAACAGTTTTGCCACTGGTCAGAGATGAGCACAAATCAGCTTTATCTTTTTATGCTGACATTAGTCACTTGCAGGCTAAGAGGTGTGTGCTTGATTAAAAGGTAACTGGTGACTGGGTAGTGATCTGCTGTAGCTACTGGAATTACTGTTCCTCTCTAACAAGAATCTCCCATTTTTTTGCAACTGGAAAGTATTCAGCACTGCATCAGTGTTTGAATACAAGAAATACATTTTATCTCCTTCTGAACATAAGTGCAAAATCTTCCTTTTTCTGATCAAGAACTTCATTTTCCTACTGATAATGGCTTCTTGAACTCTGTGGGTTTGTTAGTTTTCTGTTTGTTTGGAAATATTGGTTGTTTTGGTTTTTAAGCCTCTGAAAGACGTATGTGTTAGGGGCATCCTGTATTCTGAGGTGCMTTCCATCTCACATGTCTCTTTGCTAGGGCTGAGGTTTGTGTTTTGGAGGGGCCTCCTAGTTGTAGCTTTCAGTATTGTGTTCTTCATTGCACATCAGGCCAAACACCGTCACAGGAAATATTTCATGTCCTTCCATTTACATGCCTATGTTGAGTTGCATGCTATCACTGCCTCTCCCTGCCTCTCCATTAGGGTTTTTGCCCCATCCCATCTTTGTTGGTTATTTATTCTTGTTGCTATAGTAACAAGCATAAGGCAGAAAGCCRTACATGTTTTAGGTGTGCTTTGACCTGAAAAATTTCCAAGCTAAAAGCTTAAGATACAGCTGGGTGAAGTGAAAGCAGAGGTTGGCGGAAAACAGAGTGAAATTATCCCTTTTAATGTAAATCAGAGGGCAGAGGGATACTAGCTACTTGGTAATCTATTGGCATTGTAGATAAGTTGGGTCCTAAAGAAGAATTTGAGGAATGTAYAGTTACTTAATTTGATAGAATGGTTTGGGTTGGAAGGGACCTTCAAGATCATAKAGTTCCAATCCCCCTGCTATTGGCAGGGACTTTCCACTAGATCAGGTTWCTTAAGCCCCATCCAATTTACCCAGTGTTTGGGTTTGTTTTGTTTTACTCTGACCTACCTCATTTGTAGAGATAGAACAGGAAGAAAGTCTACATTTTGGTAAGAATTGCTCTAAGTAAGCAATAAAGGCGGGAATGAGATGGAAGGTAGAGGCCAACTTGCATTGGGCTCTTTGACATGCAAATTCCTGATGGAAAAGTAAAACCAGCTATTCCGTTTATTAAGATTATACTCGCTTTAGATATAAATATTTCCAAAATAAACAATAAAAAACWAAGCAGGGCATTTTTCTTGATCATTTCTGACCTGTGGAAGAGTTSATTGTCCATAGACAAGTGATGATTTCATATTGGTTATTTTTGCTTTCAAAAGTGATAGAAGAGGGTTTTTTTTTTCTTTTCAATAATCTCATGTGCTCTTGAAGTGGAGCTACATGCAATCCTCATTGTTTTCCTGCATTGGCAGTATTGTTCTCCTAGTGTATCAGCTCCTAATACAGTCCTGACTGTATCTGAACATTAATAATGTACAGACAGCCCAATAGAACTAATATTAAGAATCTAGGACACATTTTTAGTGTACAGTGTAGTGGTTTTATTAACCCAGCTTGAAGTGGGCTACTGTTAGGCTGTAGCTGATGGGTCAGATGGATGCACAGCTAGAGGAAAGGTGCTTAGAACAAATCTACAGAAGCAATGCCAGTGTTATATTTGCTTAAAATAAGCAATTTGAAATTGCTCCTCCCTCATGGAGGGAGGCAGGGAGAAGCCYTTCATTACTCAAAAATGCATCTCTAGGGTCTTGTCCATGCTCAAATTTTAGTTGCCAGGATAGCTAGTGAGAATCTATATTATRTTCAATGTAGCTGAAACCCCAACATAAGATGAGAACAATGCATTTTGTATATGCTATTTCAGTCTGATTAACACTGTCTCCCATTCTACCTTGATTGTTTTGATTTTGCATTTTCTCAAGARCAGGTGTTGAGTTTGGATAAAGCTGACCTCCTTGTCTTCAAGAGGCATATGGGTCTGAGAGAGAAGAAATATTGCTTTAGCCATGTCCTGATCTTTTGTGTTTTGTGGTCTTAGTGTAGAGGTTATAATGGAGCAGGAAGACATGCTGGTGTATTTCTAAGCTTCAGTGATAAGAGTGCTGCTAACAGCAATCAAGTTTCAAAACAAACGTGGCCTTGAATTGCTGTTTGGCATAGCTCAGTTGTACAGAGCTACATGAGTCTTAACTGTATCTGGAGGTGAACGGAGCTTGTTCCTTGACTTCTGTTGGAATTTGTGAATGTGGCCACTTCTCATCTTGGGTAATTTGTTTTCTCCCAGGCCCAGTCAATGTCACAAAATCAGTTGTCACCCTTGACTGATTGCACAGATATTCATAGTAAGCTTGTTCTTCTGTCTTGCATGCTTTAGTGAGCAGCTCTTACAATGTCAACAGGGTCAGCATTTGTATCTGCACAGAGCAGCTAATATCTCTGAGCTGACTTTTCACACTGCATCTCAAGCAGTTCTTACTCTATCAGTTCCACCATTGCTCTATTTTCAAGGTTATCTTGACAGCTGTAACATCCAGATACCCTAATGAATAAAGCCACAGGGGAAAAAAAAAGTAAGTAAAAAAGAAAGCATACTTTTGTGTTTGCCACATGCATTTGGCCTGTGCTCTTAGCAGAGAGTAGGATCCATTCTGCAACATGGATCTCTTTGGGGGATGGCTAGGTTTGAACTGTAGAGTATACCTAGATCCACCTACAGTCCAKAGGCACCAGTGCCCATAATTTTTGGCAATTATAAAAGGATACCACATAACCCAAGAGCATCTAGTAATAAAAGTTTRTATTTAGGGTAATTAACTTTCAAGTTAGAAGAGGGCTCAATTCAGAAAGCTCTTCATCACAAACTTAAATATCACTGAAGTCAGTGGAATGTATTTGTGGGTCAAAATGCGCAAGACCCCAATTGAGCGAAGCTCTTTTAATCTAAATTGGGGGATTGTCCTGTAGAGACTAATGGTGAAGGACCAGGCTCTGATTGTCAGAGGAAAGAGTCAATTAACCTGAGGAAAAAGTTCTTCAACAGGCCCTTGGGTAAATGCTGGTTTGCTTGCTGACTCTTGTGGCCTTTCCATGACTGCACATGCCATGCCTATTTGACTGCTAATTCTAAACATACGTAGGGTAAACTTTGAGAATATTTTCTGACATGGGGTGAAAGAGCAGCAGCTGCATTAGCAGATTGCTTGCTGTAAAGGGGCAGTAAGTGGTGACTGGARGCTGTATGTCCAAATGGTCGTTTAACCTGAGGCCTACTCTCAGGTGTTTCTTTTCATTTTACAAATGCATCCCTCCAGGCTGGTGGACAGACCTGACAAGTTCAGCAGTGATCAACATCCACCACTTTCACTAAAGTTCTAGGATTCTTGTCTGTCAGCTGTTGGCACAGCTTTTTGTGCTGCTGTATATGGTTTCTTTGTCATGAATTCAGGACAAACTGGAAATATCTGAGATATTTTGCCTGATTTAATTTGAGAAGCTTATATGGAGTGGGCAGGCAAAAGTGGTGGAAAAATCAGGGAAAATACCTGTGCTTTTAACAATATCTCTTCTGTGGCTTGAAAAGTCCAAGAACTTCTCAGCCAGAGAATGTATTTCCTCCCTCTTTTTATAAGCTACTTCTTTCTTTTGCCTTATTAACTGTGGATCTGCTCCTGCTTCTATTTCAAGCCAGATGCAAAAATTGGTGACCTGASTTCCCT